AGATCGAAATCAGGTTGCAAGATCGGATTCAGTGATAGTGAGAGCATTGGAGGATAGTCTGCAATGACCTCAGGGACATGTACAACCTCAGGGACATGTACGACCTCAGGGACAGATATGACAAACATTGGTTGACGATGCTGATATATTTGAAGTGGATGAGAAGTCGGGGGGTTAACCGTAGGGTTATCTAGTGGGACATGTTCCCTAGAATGATGGGGAATAATGACATATGGGACTTCCATAAGAGGTGTGGGAGTACTCTCTTGAAAGGGGTCCGGAGTTACTTGGTTGGACTCGAAATATGGAACAAACTCGATGAAGGTGACATTAGCCGACATGAGGTATCGTTGTAGGGTATGTGAATAGCAACGATAACCTTTTTGGGATCGATGATAACCAAGAGAAACACACTTTAGTGATAGAGCTGATAGTTTATCAAGAACAGGAGAGAGATTGTGTACAAAACATGTAGACCCGAAGACTCGGGAAGGAATTGGGTGAAGGGGGAATGGGGAAAAAGGATTGAATGAGGGATTTTATTGTTAAGGATGGATGATGGATGCGATTTATAAGGTAAACATGTCGTTAGCGCAACGTCTCCCCAAAACCGAAGTAGAACATTACCATGGAGAAGTAGGGTCCGAGTGGTTTATACAAGATGCTGATTTTTACGTTCGACTACCCCATTTTGTTGAGGTGTATGAGGACAAGATGTTTGGTGGAGAATACCATTACTAGACATAAAAGTTTGAAATTGTTGGGATAAATATTCATGAGCATTATCATTTCTTAAGGTACGAATAGACACACAAAACTAAGTTTTTATTTCTTTATAAAATTTTCAAAAATAGAAAATAATTCTGATCTAATTTTCATTAAAAATAACCACGGGTAACGTGAAAAATCATCAATAAAGGTGACAAAATACCTAGACTCAAGAGTAGAGATAATACGTGATGGACCCCAAATATCATAGTGAACTAAAGCAAAAGGGGACGAAGCTCGTTTATTGACTCGATTGGGAAATTGACTACGAGTGTGTTTCCCTAACTGACACGACTTACAATGTAAATTAGATACTTTTGATAAACTTGACACCAACTTCTGTAATTTGGGAAGACTAGGATGACCTAACTGAGCATGGATTGTAAGTAGAGAATCTTTGGTTGAGCATGTCTGAGATGACACTGAGAGGTAATAAAGCCCTTGAGACTCATATCTGACACCAATTGTCTGTCCCGAACTCCGATCCTGCAGGGTGACATTACTATTAGTGAAGGTGACAATACAATCAAGAGAACGAGTTAAAAAACTGACTAAAAGTAAATTAAATGGAAAATTAGGTACATAAATAACATAAGTAACAAAGAAAGAAGGTAGAATTTGAACAATACCAATTCCTTCGGATCAGGTTTGAGAACCATTGGCAGAAGTTATTGTAGGTAAGAAACCAGAGGTAGAGAGGGAAGAGAAAAGAGTTTTTATTACCAGTTACATGATCAGACGCACCAGAATCAAGGACCCAAGGTCCAAGAGAAGATGATTGAGAGAAGCAAACACATGAATTACCAGTGTGTGTAACCGAAGTAGTAAAATATGAGTTCTGATAATTCTGATAACACTTGAGGAAATCATTGTAGTTTGGCGTAAAGTTCTGAGGAGTAGCCATGAGTATCAGATTTGAAAAAGTTGCACCGTGGAAAGTGCGGTGGTGTTAAAATCGTCGAATCGGCCGGATCGAAGGAGGCGCTTTTGCCGGTAGGGTAAGTTTTTCGGAAGGTCACCAAAATTAGTAGCGGTGGATAGAGGCAGCACTCTGGTGGTTACTGGAGAATTTTGGAAAGTGGGAGGCAAACCGGAGTGATGACACGGTTTGCAAAAAAAATTTATCACCTGAAGACAGTGGGTCAACCGGGTAAAACACGACGAAGAATTGCCTCTTAGTAGGCTCTAGATACCATATTGAATTAGGAGAGATTAAGAGACATTTAGGTTAAACCGTGTGTTTTGAAAAGCACTACAGAGACTTTATTATATATATATATATAGAGTACAACTAATGTTATGATATAGTCGATGTAGGACTATTCTACATACAAATATACTTCACACTATATATATATATATATATATATATATATATATATATATATATATATATATATATATATATATATATATATATATATATATATATATATATATATATATATATATATATATATATATATATATATATATATATATATATATATATATATATATATATATATATATATATATATATATATATATATATATATATATATATATATATATATATATATATATATATATATATATATATATCAACAATAACGAACAAGTAACATTATCTCACCTTTGTCATCCAACTTCCTTTGAAGCTGATCCAGAATATGTCAAAATTCTATCGAACCAAAAACTTTCAAATGACTCCAACTTGGTTTAAGTCCAGACCATGCCTCTTCTCGAGTCACTTTCTCCAGCTTCTTAGTAGGACGCCTATTCAACAAATAGGTAGCTGTAGAAACGAATTCACCCCATAGTTCCTTCGATAAGCTTTTTCCCTTTAACATGCTACAAAACATATTCATTATTGAATAAAATTTATTCTCTCGACAACACCATTTTGTTGAGGCGTATAAGGTGGCACAACCTCACGTACTATGTCCCTAACATCACAATAATTCTGAAAATCACTTGAGGTATACTCGTCTCCACCATCGGTTTTGAGAATTTTCAACTTGTGACCACTTTTCCACTCCGCCATAGATTTAAAACGTTTGAACACATAAGGCACCTCATATTTCCTCTTGATTAGATAAATTCATAGCTTCCTACTAAAATTGTCAATAAATGTTACAAAGTACCTATTTCCACCATATGAGTCGACTTGCATTGGACCATACACACCAGAGTACACCACCTCAAGATGATATTTGGTCCTATGACCCGTATCCTTGGTGAAACTATTCTTGTGTTGCTTCCCTTGAACACACTCTACATAAATGTCAACTGAAAAATTGATCTTGGGCAGCCCAGTCACCATACCATTCCTTTGTAACGCGTCGAGGTCTCGAAAATTGAGATGTCCAAGACAGTAATGCCACAACCACTCATCACGAGTTGCCGTTGTAGCAAGACACTTTTTATCCATCACTTTCAACTCTATCTTATAAGTATGATTTGCAGCTATGAGTGCTCTAAGAATTAAAACTCTGTTTCGATCTAAAATGCTTAAAATTTTATTTTCCATGCGAATTATGTAATTCATCTCAAGCAATTGGCCAATGCTCAAGAGATTACATTTAGTTTTATGAATGTATAATGCATATTTGATCAAGGAGTGACTCTCATCCTTCTTCATGATCAAAACATCACTCACACCGTTGACCGCTAAAATGGTGTCATCCGCGAATTTTACTCTATTCTTCGTGGCTTGATTGATTTTACTCTAGGGAGAGGTGGGTTCAATTTGGTGACTGTAATACACGATTTTTTTCACACCCAAGCTATTATTCGGAGGAAGAGTAACAAAATACATGGTTTTTTCATGGAGAGTGGTGCTTGGTGTACGAATCCGGAAGATTTGAAGAGGGCAGCCCAGCAGTTTTTTACTAATCTCTTTTCTGTTGATACATAGGTTATTCGAAATCAAATTATGGAGACCATGCAACCTTCCATTTCAATTGTGAGTGGGGAAAAGCTTTCTTAACCTGTTCCAATGGATGAGGTACATAAAGAGGTTATGGCAATGAGCCCATATAAAGCACCAGGAGTGGATGGTTTTCAGGCGTTCTTTTACAAATAGTATTGGCATATTATTGGTGATGACTTCTTTAGGATGGTTTCAGAGGCTTTTGTGCTAGGTAGGGGAGCTGATCACTTGCTAGATACTCTGGTTGTCCTCATCCCTAAAGTGTACAATCCTCTTCGCTTTAAGGAATTGAGACCTATCAGTCCGTGCAACATGGCGTATAAAATCATCACAAAGGTTTTAGTGAACATGTTTTGGCCTCTTCTTTCTGAGCTTGTGGGTCCATTACAAGATAGCTTCATACCGGGAATAGGAACTAAAGAGAATATAATGTTGGCCCAAGAAGTCATGCACATTATACAAACGCATAAGACAAAATGAGGGCTAGTGGCTCTCAAGATTGATTTGGAGAAGGCTTATGACAGGGTCAACTAGGATTTCCTTTGGGCTACACTATTGGATTTTGGTTTTCTGCAATCTATCATAAACTTGATCATGTGGGGTGTTCAAGAGGCTAACATCTCTATTATGTATAATGGCACTAAATTAGATTCATCAAACCTCAGAGAGGCCTTCGGCAAGGGGACCTATTGTCTCTTTACCTTTTTGTGCTTTTTATGGAGCGTCTAGCGATATAAATTCAGAAGCTTGTGTGTGATGATATGTGGAAGCCTGTCCGCATCACTAAGGAAGGTATTGGAATCTCTCATCTCTTTTTTATGGATGATGTGTTGTTGTTTTGTCAAGGAAACAAGGAGCAAATTCAGTTAGTTGCAAATACTCTCAATGAATTTTGCAATTCATCTCGAATGAAAATAAATTTTGAGATGTCCAGGAATTTTTGTTCAACCAATATGGATAGTGATCTGCAATAGAAGCTTTCTAATATACTGGGCCTTGCTAGAGCTAACAACATGGGCAAGTATCTTGGTTTGCCTATTTTGAAAGGGCGAGTAACAAGAGCGAACTTTGCATCTATAATTGACAAGGTAAATACTCGCTTGGCCTCATGGAAAAATAAACTTCTAAATAAAGCTATAAATTATGCCTAGTAAAATCGGTTTTGTCTTCTCTTTCAATTTATGCTAAGCATTCATTGCGGCTTCCGGAATCCCTTTGTGATTATCTGGATAAGAGTATCAAACACTGTATTTGGGCCAACGGGGATAGCAATTGCAATTGGAATCTACTCCCTTGGTGAGATATCACTTGCCCTAAAATGGATGGTGGTCTCGGTATTCGAAATGCTATGATGAACAATGTGACACTTCTTGGAAATCTCTTGGATGATATTATTCGTCATCCGAATAAGTTTTGGGTGCAGGTGTTGTCTCAAAAATTACTTGGAAAGGGAATTTGTTCTTGAAGTAAATAAGAAGCTGAGCGACTCATATATTTGGAGGGGAATTTTGAGAACTAATGAGCATTTGGGGAAGGGATTTCAGCCGCAACTTGGCCTGGGAGATTCATTGTTTTGGTATCATAATTGGCTAGGTTCTGGAAAGCTTTGTAATAGGGTCCTCTTTGGGTATATTTCAGATACGCAATTGCACGTGCATGACATATGAGGAAGTGGATTTTGGAACTTTGGAATTCTTTACAGTGCTGCCTCCAGATACTCGCAATGAGATTATGAAGGTGCATATTCCAACGAAGTTAACAGGCGTTGACAGATTCGGTTGGAAGCATAGCATTGATGGGTTATATACCACAACATCAACTTATAACCTTTTAAAGGGATCTAACATGGTTGATGTCCGTTGTAACTGGAGGAAGGTATGGAGTCTTAAAGTCCCAAAAAAATTAGAATATTTCTCTAGTTAAATGGGAAGGAAGCTTTGCCTACCAATGCAAAGCGAAACTGGAATCATCTCGCAGCCACACCAGCCTGTGCGATATGCAGGGGAAGTGTCGAAAATCTTGATCATCTATTTCGGGAATGTCGTAATGCGAAATAGCTGTGGGAGGAAATTGCTCTATCATCTATTTGACCGTCTGTTACTGCTCAGGACTTCCAACAGTGGTTTGAAAAAGCCTAGAGTTCTAGCCAGTATGTATTGAAGCTTGCCATCATATGATAGATATAGAGATGGTGTAACCATGTAATCTTAGGTGCAGGGAATTGGAACTTGAACTATGTTATGAGACAGGTTTGGCAGGACACTAGAGCTTGGAAAAATTGGACTCTGTTACCTGAACATGTAGCAAGTCAGCATGTCGTACTTCAGCCAGGGCCTTTGTCGCAACATGCAAGCCACACTCTGATCAGTCTCATGGTAGATGGCAGCTGAAACCTGAATGTGAATCAGATGGGGGTGGTGTGGTTATTCTTGATGCAAGTGGACGTTGGATTTCTGGTGTGTCTTCTAGTTTTAGTACGGATATTGCATTTACTGCAGAACCTTTGGCTCTGGACATAGGATTGGAACATGCTTGGTCTCTTGAGTTTAATTATGTTTTGTGTAAGACGGATTATTTACTGGCTACCGAGTTTCTCACCACAGATGTGGAAGTTGTTAACTTTTGAGATCGTGAATTGATTGTAAAGATTAGACAAGTTTTGGCCAAGGAATGGGCTATTTTCATTGAGCATACTCCCAAGAACAGAAACAATGCAACAGATTTCATGGCTCGTCAAGCGTCGCGAGATGCTTTCAGCCGTCAAAATTTAGCAATTATCTTCATCCAGTATCATCTATGTCTTGTATCAGAATATTGTCTTCTAGTTTTTTTGTTTTCCTATTTGTAAAAAAAAATATTAACTGTGCGAATTTATTTAAAAAAACAATAAGAACATTTTATAAAATTTAGGGTACACGTGGCCAGATGATATTTACGTTTTTTAAAACAGTTTTTTTAGAAAAATATTTGGCCAACACTTTCCATTCCAAAAATCTTTTAAGGAAAATTAGTGGAATACCTGTGCATAAGGTGATAATCACTCCGTATCTATTTTGTTCGCAAGGATACTAAGTTTAAACTCGCCACGACTTTAATCATATACCTACGTATCCTCTTAGGAGGAACCAGAGTTCAATTTCACAATTTAGGGGGTTTTGTTTGTGTTTGTGATTGTAGACGCAGTTATTTAATCTTTTTTTGAAAAATAATCTAGAAGTTTTGATTAGATTGGTTGAAAAATTATTTGATCGTTGATTAGCTATTTTGAGTGTAGAGCGGGAGACTCTGATATAGTCTCCTCGTTAATTGTCCTTCTGGTCTCTCTGCTTGTGTCTCTTCCCTATCTCTCTCATTCAAACAACAACATCAAAAACCCTAACCTAACTCGCGGCAGCGTCCACCCTTCTGCCTACGATACAATAGTAACAACATACCATCTCCGGTCGTGGTTGTGTACTTCGCGTTTGCTTCCTATTTCTCTATTTTACAGGTGCGGCGGCGGCTTGGTAAGGGCAAGGATGGCGATGGTGGTGCGAAGGAACAATAGTGGCTCGACTCTCCTCTTTCTCTGTTAAGAGAAATTGCTCTGCGCCTTTCTTTCTCTTTTCTGTAAATCGTTCCTCTCCCTCTATTGTCCCCCTCCTCTCTCTCTGTTCGTCTTCCCCCTCCCTTTACTGTTTTGTTTCTTGGGATTTTATAACAAATTTTAAGATTTAGAATTAGGAAACAAAATGATTAGGTTTCAATATTTTTGATTTTGATTCTAGAGAACAAATTGATTTTGTTTGTAACTGTACTGATTGAGTTGAATAATGCAATATTTGTTTCTGTTTTCGTCTGAGATTTGTTTCTGTATGAAATCTTTGTTTCTGTTTTCGTTCGAGATTATTCTGGAAAGAGCTTAAATGCAAGATCTGATTTTGTTTTGCCTACGATTTGAAAATTAGACGTTTAACAAAAATAAGGCATGTTTTTTTTCCAATTCATATAGTGAACGTTTACACATTTTTGGGCCATTCGTTTTTTATTTTACAATGTGCTTTTCTCTGACTTGGGCCAAACAAAAATAAAAAATAAAGCAGATAAACTCTAAAAAAACGGTTACAAATATAAATAATAATTGATTATAAAATAATAATAATTAATAATAGATTTAAAGTCAGATATTGACTTTAGTTTAATAATATCATAAAATAATTTTAACACAAAAAATTTGTTAACCATGTAGTAATATTCATAACAATAACTATATAAATAGTTATAGTAATACCAATTAGTTAGTAAAAGTGTTTTAATAAAAAAAAGAAAATAATGGTACCGAAAAAAAGCTCAAACCTTTTTATTGGACCATAGAATTGATTCAGAATTTGTAAAACCCATGCACTTCTTCTTCTAATATAATACACCCCTCTTTTTTTAAGAACTTAGCACTTTAGAAACAATAACACCAACAATAATGAAAAGGTGACTAGTTATAAATTATCCACTAATATTAGAAGGATAAATTTGGGGTATGACAGTTCTCAGAGGTATATGTATGATACGCGCATTTGTTCTCAAAATATAATAAAAATAAAATGTAAATAAAAAAAGTTAGTGACTATAATTCTTTTAATATATAAAAATATTTGAATGAATAATATATATTTTTATATAAATATCATTTTTGTTTTAGAATTGTTGTAAACAAATATTTAAATTAATAGTAAAGTTGTTCTATCAATATTCAATATTTTGATTAATAATTTCATATTCTCGTTAATATTCAATAATTTGATCAGTAACTTAATATTTCCGTTAATATTCAATATTTTGATCAGTTTGATTAGTAACTTCATGTTTTGGTTAATATTCAATATTTTGATCAATAACTTCATGTTCTCGTTAATATTCAATGTTTTGATAAGTAATTTCATGTTTTCGTTAATATTCAATATTTTGATCAGTAACTTCTTATTTCCGTTAATATTTAATATTTTAAACAATAACTTCATGTTCTCATTAATATTTAATATTTTGATCAGTAACTTTATATTCCCATTAATATTCAATATTTTTATCATTAATATTAATATTTAATATTTAATATTTAATATTCAATTTTCAAAAGAGATAATAAATTAGTTTCTAGAATATTTTTCGGATATATAATCATTTGAATCAACGGTTTAATTATATATATATATATATATATATATATATATATATATATATATATATATATATATATATATATATATATATATATATATATATATATATATATATATATATATATATATATATATATATATATATATATATATATATATATATATATTGGAATTATTTATAATAATATTTAAATTAATATTAAATTTGTGACCGTTATTGTTCAATATTTAAATCAACAGTTTAATATTAGTATCTTATAAAATAAAATAGAACTAAATTTTTAAAAATTATATAGGTTTAGAGTTGAAAAATCACGTATTAGAGATTAAAAATATACAATTTTCATTATAAAATATCATATTTTAGATGTTAATCTTTATTTTGTAAGTATCATATTTTAAAAGAAAATTAATTTCATAAAGTATTTATGGAGTTCATGCAATTCATTTTTAATGAGTGGGTAGCTAACGTACTTTTTAAATATTTTACTAAGTAAAAAAATAAGTTCTTTTAACATAATTGTTTTTCAATAAGTACTTCTTTTCCTAATAATTATTTTATAATATTTTATTAACTAAAATTAACATATAGTAGTACTAATTAAAAAATGTTGCTAACTAAGGCTAACTAAGTAAAAAAATAATATTATAACAATAAATAACACTACGAAAATAACTACATAGTACATAACATACAATAATCACATTAAAAGAACATTTTCACAATTACTATATACTTGTCTCTTATAAATTCACTGAGATAATTGGCAATCAATCTCCACTTTAAAACCAATTATTAGTATACTCGAAGATACACCCGGTAGACTTGTTTAACATGAAGTAACAATCAATTGGAGTTGGGTATGAATCTGTAATTTACATACCCTTGCAACATTTTAAAAAGCTGGGGATACAACTCTTCATCCCTTAAGGGTTCAATTCTCTGGGAAATAACTTCAACCGAGTGTATTCAAACTGTTATTTGAGTGTGTAGATCTCTAATAGCTAATCTTGTTTTATCCACGTAAGAAGGTTCCTCTCCTTTTATATCATGGTTCTTCAACTGCATACATTTCTTCTCATATGCAACTCGAAAGCGTGTTCCAGACTGAAAAACCATAAGCACAATAATGACATGTAACAATAATAATATGAAAATTACTAAATTAAATCAAAATGTTGAAGTTGGTCTCTATGGTACATTAGGAAAATATTAATGTGATTTTAATATTATACCCTAACTTCCTGGTAGAGCTTCTTCTCCCATGTATATAACCAATCTAATGTTGATTGGTGACTGGCAGACAACATACAACCTTCCCATGACGGTGGATCATCATTGCCTTCATAAACTTCATCCCTAGAGTTTGAAAAATTCATTATTCTTTTTTACGGGGACGAGCTAGAAGAAGCTGCGCGAAAAAGAGCTACCGGATTGAACAATTTTGATGTTGCATAAGAAATATAATTCAAATTTATGTTCCTGAAAACTTATAAATAGATATAGAGCGAAACAAAAATGATCTACAAATGCAAGATTATTTTGGTGTACAATTCAGTATACACTTTGACCAAACCTGATAGTTCATTAGAAGTGGATAAGTGTTGAACTTTCTTAGCTTCTTACAGTATCGAGACATCATTGGCTGCATTAAATACAACTGTAAATTGAGCTTCAAGATCCTTGATCACTTCTTCCATATTCGTCGGTCTTCGATTTACATAAACAGTAAAATCGGGTGTCTCTTCCTTAGCTTCTTGATGATGCAATAGCAACATTCCCAGGATTAAGGTTGTCAAAAGTTATTATCTAAAATATTTTGAATCCTCATTGGATGAGCACCACATACATTAAAATAGATAACATTGCATACTTATTTCAAGGATCACTGAATATATAAATAAAATAGCAAATTCATTTGTACCTTTTTTTGAAATGTATGACTTTATATGTACCTATGCTGAAAATTGAATAGCTACATGACTTATGCCAACTAATGACGACACAATGCCACTGCATCAAAGGAATTTTCATAAAATATTTTTATTGAGATCCCTTGGAATTTTCATAAAATATTTTATCAAATCATCAACTTTAAATTAGAGATCCAAAAAACATACCTATACAGTCCTCGTAGACCTTTCTCGTGTGTAATCCTCGTCAAAGCGGAAAGAAAACTCTCGTAAGGAACAAAGTTAGGCCTCATTCCTTGTGTCTGATGGATTTCCGAGGAAATATAAGTCAATATTTAACATGAGAAAAACATGTATCGGTATCAATGAGTAAGATATAAAGAATTCATATTAAGACGATAATCATTGAGACATAAAAAGGTACAACGAATACAAGTTAAAACAAATACAGAAGCAACTATTCAATTTAACCAATTAGTTTTGATAGAAAGAATTCCATGATAGTTAGGTAATAAACTCTAAATTTCATTTAAATAAATAAGATGAGAGATTCTTACAAATATATGGAAAATTGAGACGCATCATCAATGAAAAGGACAAGGAAAAGAAACAATTAAAAAGAGTGTGCATTGCAACTTTTACATATATTTTACTAAGATTATAGACATGAGAAAAATTAACTCACTTGGAGTCTTATCTTAACAACCCACAATGAATTTGTAGATATTGTTGTTGCAGCTCCAGCAGTAGCAACTGTAACATTTTTCATAGTTGCAAGTTCGTTGCAACCCTCTGAAACAGTATTACCAACAAATATCGTCATAAAAAATAGTAAATCTAACAAATATAAAGTATAAACCTGGGATACGAGGAAACCACAATTGGAAAAAAATTGAGAAATCTATTATAATATTTTCAATGACTTAAGAGAATAAAGAGTGCATGTAAAAAAGAAATTTTCATGAAGATAGTGTTTATCATGTGACTGAAGCAAATGATTAGTGTGGAATAACAACTGCATACCATAAAAACATCAAACATATATATTCACCAAAGTGTATTTGAAAACGTTTCCTTCCTTGTCAAGTTATGGATTAACATGATTAAATTCTCAAAGCACATGTTGTCAACTTACCAAAACACCAGTAGCAAATATCTCTTTAAATTACCAACTGTCTAGTAGTGTAGATGATTTCACTCCAACACCAACATCGATTGAACGATTCAAAGTCAATCTCGATCTCGCCGCTGCAATTTGCTAGATTTAATTCAAAACCATAACATTCAAAATTCTAATACAAAATAATAGTTATAGAAATTGGAAATGGAGTAACCAACGCGGACATAGATTCCTTTGAGGAAGGTGATGGAGAGAGTCGATATCAGAATACAAATTATCACTAATATCTATTTCAGTTTCAGCTTTTACATTATGAGTTGCTTCAATTCAGTTTCTAGGTACATTCAACACATTAAATGGATTTAAAAAAATGGAGAAAGAAATAGAAAAAAAAATCAGAGCAATATCTCTTCAAACATGACAGATTCCATAGAACGAAAACAGAGAGAAAAGAAAGAAGAAAGAAGAAGAAGAAGAGAGATGAAGCGGAAGAGGGAGAAATAGAAACCGTTCTGCAAAACTGCAAAACCGTCATAGAAGGAGAAAAATGTGAAACCCTTGTGGTATTTAAAAGAATTGGAAAAGAAACCATGACTATTGATGTTTCTGAGATATTTGGAAAAGAATAGATATTTGGATTAACAAAGAGATGTGTTTGTAGGAAGTTACATGTTATGATTTTGAAGCAAAAGAATAAAATTAGATTTTTAAGTAGATCTAATTTTCTTATATTATAGATGTGCATATGTGTTATGATACACGTGACGAGATAAGATTTACGTTTTATTTTTGATATAAAATTTATCGATGTTCTTCTTTTTTGATATAGATTTATCTTATAATATAGATATGTCTTTTATTTATATATCTCTTACATGATTTGTGAGACCAGACAACTCTTTCTTTTTCTTTTGGTCTAATTTATCAACTCTTTATTAAAACAAAATCAATACTTCAAACTAAAATTAAAAATATCTTTCTTTAGAAGTTTTAAAAATAAGTTCTTAAAAAACACCTTAATTTGAGCTCTACATGACTACGTCAACGGACTAATTAATTAACATTTGAAAAAGAGTATAATGTCAAAGTAATTGTCAGACTCTCTTGAGTATATCAAAATAATCATGAAGTCAAATTGCTTTGAGGTTTGGTGCGGTGGGCGATTCATAATTTGATCGAAAGATTTTGATATTATATTAGAATTTAATTTAATTTATTTTTATAAAATCGGTTTATAAGATGAGAGATTTATTTTATATAAAATTTTCTATTTTCAATCAAGGTGAGATTTGAAACTTTTTTAATAACGACAATCCAAGTCAAACTAAATCGAAAAAACTATTTGTTTTTGGTTCAATTTCAAAATTGAACCGAATCATTGAAAATCAATGTGGTTTTTTCGGTTCTCAATTTTAATTTTTAAGAACTACCAAACCGATGAACGGAACCAATGACTATAAGTCTAAATTTTATATTGGTCAAACTATTCTTTGTAACACCTTAATTTTTATCTGAAATAATTATAGATAAAATCAGAGTAAATTAAAAACTTCACTCAATCAGGATGTCACATTATGTCTAACTTTATTTTATTGCATCGAAAACATCAACCAAATATTACAATACTTATTCAAATAGTTCATGTTATAAAATAAATATAAAATTACAACTTAAGAGATATCACAAAATCTCTAATAACAAAGAATAACAAATCAAGCATTCGACCCCCAGTGTTACACATCAAAGCAGACACCGACACCAACGAAAGCAATAAAGAATAGCACTCTCTTCAAACTCATCCACACCTTCACTGTGCATCACCAACATTCAAACGGAAATGGTGAGGTATCACAATAATCTAAAGGAATGCATAATAATAAGTATACAACAGATTATTACATGCATAATCACCCAATTCACCATTCGCATCCAAACCAAAACACCAATTTACATATCATTTATGTAATAACATCATTCATACAACAACAACAATTATGCAATGCATTGTGACTTAACACCAATTAAACAAATGCATGTGATATCAATTTTTGTGAACACTTAGTTTCACCTCATCCGTCCATCACCATAAGCACGGAGCACACCAAAATACACTCAATCCACACAATGGAATTGAGGGTTACCAACACAAACCACCGCCCAAACACTTATGATGCATGATACATGTTAACATGCAGCCCAAACACCTAATGACAATTATACTCCGCCAATTTTGTCCAGCAAACACCAAGCACCTGTTATCACCGACCTACAACAAGTTTTACAATGCGGTACACAACAAGCAAACACACAATGCACAATTCAAGCATTGGTCACAAACCACAACATACAGTTATTACAATATAAAGCAATTACAAACCATGAAACGCAGTTTCAAAAACCTAAAATTATTTTTATAAGAAATTACCTTGTTTTGCTTTCCATTGGTTCAAACGGCGCGTCAAACGAACACCCGAAACTCAAGTTATGAATTTTTGAAGTTTTACAAAAATGCAAACACTGGCATCATACTGCAACATACACTTTCACCATAAAACTTCATTACACACCAATTAAATTTAGTTCCATAAACTTGAAACTATTTTTATAAGAAAGTACATTGTATTAGCTTTCTGCAGGTTCAAACGACACGTCAAACGAACACTCGAAACTAAAGTTATGAATTTTTGAAATTTTACAAAATTCGATCAGAACGGCGGTAATCGATTACGCTATATCCCATAATCAATTACGGACTCGAAAATAGTCCAGAAACCCATTTTTAAGTGGTAATCTATTACACCTTCACAAACAGTCCAGAAACCCATTTTCAACAACGTAATCGATTACACCCGCAACAGAAGAACTTGTCTGCTGCTTATTAGCACGAAAATCACTTTTAAGCCATACAAAAACCCCATTTTTCTTGCAAAATAGTTGATATTTGAATTATACAGATTCAATCACACTAATACACCAAAACACAAAAACCCAACAACAATAATTCATTCTCATCAACATTCATCCGATCGATTCAAACATAAACACATACAGATTCATCAATTGATTCATTCGATACACAACAACATACCAACATTCATCCAATCAATTCAAACATACAGAAGGAAATATCATAAACATGAACAACATATAACTATAATAATTCATAATCCCCAAACTTACATGTCATTGTGTAAATCCTTAGAAGACCAGAATCCCCCTTTACCTTGGTATTTCTAGCAAATTTTTGACCTCTAATAGAAATCTTGGTTCTTCTTCCTCAAGCCCTAGCCTTGCTCTTTCACTCTTCTATTCTCTTTTCACGTTCTATCAGTTCTAACCTCAATGACTCTAACTCCTTTATATTATTATTATTATTATTATTATTATTATTATTATTATTATTATTATTATTATTATTATTATTATTATTATTATTATTATTATTATTATTATGATTTCAACTAAATAAAACAATCAAAATTAAAACTAATCATTTATTTAATCCTATTATTACTATTATTATTTAATCTTATTAAAATTTAATTAAATAATCTAGCAACAACATTCTCTCACCGCCCCTATGTTTCTAACTTTTTACTGACACCCTCCTTCCAACACCTGTATTTCTAATTTTAAAGGTTATCACCATACACCGAAGGGCCCCCAAACACACCAAAACACTAAATATCACACAATATCACACAAATCAATAACGAATAATTAATTAAAATAAATTGAGGTGTTACAACTCTCCTCCACTTAAAAAAATTTTGTCCTCGAAATTTTATCTGATGCGAACAACTCAGGATACGACTCTCACATCCTACTCTCCAACTCCCATGTCACGTGCTCTCTAGTATCACCTCCTCATACTACTTTCACAAGAACAATCTCGTTACCTCTCAGCTGTTTCAATTCCCGGTCTTCAATTCTCACCAGTAAAGTTTCAACTGTAAGATCATCCCTCACTTGCACATCATCTATTAGAATCACATGAAATGGATCTGGGACATATTTCGAAGTTGCGAAACATGAAATGCATCATGCAAATTCGAAAAATTTGGTGGCAACGCCACTCTATACTCAACAGCTCTAACCCTATTAAAAATTTGATACGAACCGATATATCGAGGAGTAAGCTTTCTTGATTTTAAAGTACGTCCAACACCTTTCACCAGAGTGACTCTCAAGAATACATGGTCTCCTTCTTGAAACTCAAGATCCTTTATTCTCTTATCACGGTAACTCTTTTGCCTACTCTAAAGCTTTCATCTTTTCTTGATTTAACTTCACCTTTTTCGTAGTCCACTGGACAAGTTTAGGTCCAAGCACCACACTCTCACCAGTTTCATGCCAACACAAAGGTGTCCTACACCTCATACAATACAGTGTCCCAAACGCTTTCATTCTAATGATGGAACAAAAGCTATTATTGTAAGTGAACTCTATCAGTGAAAGATGATTATTCCAAGCACCACCTTGCTCAAGGACACAAGCTCTCAATAAGTCCTCCAATGATTGAATAGCTCTCTATGTCTGACCATCTATCTGTGGATGATAATTAGAACTCAACCTCAGCTTAGAACCCAATGCTCCCTGTAAACTCTCCCAAAATTCTAATGTAAACCTCGGATCTCTATCAGAAACAATACTTAATGGAACTCCATGAAATTTCATAATCACATGGATAGAAATCTCTGCCA